CAGCGAGCCAAAAGTTGGAATGATTTTTGAAGATGAGGAATTTGATCAAGCATTGAAGGCCATTGCAGCCATTGCCGAGATAGAAGAAAAGCCAAAAAATGTTCGTCAAGCCTAAAAGTTCCCCATCAGACGGGAGTCTCGGTATCCATTCTTCCTATCCTTTCTGCCTCCGAATTATCCCAAGGTGTGATCCGGATGTTTTACATTATTGTCTTACTTTCTGATGGAAACCCTTCTATCTCAAAAATTGAAAAAAAATCAAAAAATCAAAAAAAAAAATCAAAAAAAATCAAATAAATTAATATTTCATTGTCCAGGAATGTCTCTTTTCTTAATCTTGTCATTTTTCTTGCTATCTTTTTAGTTCTGTTAAATGCAGATTTCAATAACATGACATGCTTGCAGACTTCATGCCCAGATCCTAAAATGTTGTCAGACCTCGAATTAATGAATCAATAATTAGATTGCAAAGAAGATAAGTTTTAGGAAATAAAACAAAGAGTTGGAACAGCTAAAGGAAAATTGGCTCCAGATTGGAAAGATCCATACATGGTAACAAAGGTACTGCCAAAGAGAGCGTCGTACCTGGGAAATGTCGAAGGAAATGATCCTGAAACAACTCTCAACATAGGTACAGTCAAAAGGTACTATGTTGGATCTTCTATATAACAATAATGTTCTCCGGTTGAGATGAAGATGGCTTTTATTCTCGCTACCCAACACTATCAATCCTTTGCAAACTCTTTGAGCCGGTTACTTTTCTTTGATTACCGTCTTTGGAACTTGAAAGTGTTATTGAAAAAAAATAAAAAAAAATGAAAAGAGAAGAAAAAGAAAAATACAAAAAAGGAGGAAAAGGGCAAAAAGAAAAATAAATAGGAAAAGAGAAGAAAAGAAAGATACAAAAAAGAGGGGGAGAAAAAGACAATGAAATGAAAAAATAAAGGAAAAAGAAAGGGAAAACAAAACAAAACAGAAAAACAAAAACAAAAGTTTCCCTGAACTACGTTTGACTTGATTCCGAAAGGATACGTAGGCAGCCTCTCCCTGGGGTTCAGTCACACCAAAATAAAAATCCAAAATCCCCAAAAGTTGAAACTGGGGAAGAAGTTACAATGGTTCGGCGATGGTTTAGCCTAAAAGTTTCCAAAGTTGTAATTCAATCCAAATTCTTTTTACCCCAAATCATGTTCAAGGCCTTCGATCAATCGGTGAGAATGTTCAAGGATCAGAGAATGCATCTACTTGGATCTGATGCAATCAAAATGAGAGAAATAAAAAATGATAGAGTCTTATTAGTTAAAACCCACACGGGCACCGTAAGGCGATGGTAAGCAGAGAAATTGAAAATGAGAGAGTCTTTTTAGTGAAAACTCGCAAAGAGCACTATAAGGCGATGGAAAGAAGAGAAATAAGAGAGGTTAGCTCATGAAAACCCGCAAAGGGTGCCCCTGAACGAAAAGAGGATTCTCATAGCCATTGACATCGACAGAGTCCTGGCAAGGTTTCTCAATTTTGAGGCAAAAGTTGTGATGGGTTTCTGAGAGTCGGACGGTTTACACAGATCAGGCATCCAGTCCAAAAGGCATGTCATATTCAATGAAGTCCTCATGTACTCCAGATAAGTCCTTTTTTTCCTTTCTCCGAAAGGGACACTTCTTGTTTTAAACTCATTCTCCATTCTATTGTTTGTTTTCTTTGAATCCCTTTCACTCTAACTTTGTTCCGAAGCTAAGACAAAGAAAGAATGGTTATACTGATTTACAGGGTTCTCATTTGATACAAGCTAATATGCAAAAAGTCACCCAGCCTCGTCGGGGGCATCAAGTCAACCTCGACTGGCCATGGCGGCTGATGTTTTGAAATTGAAAAACTCCTGGAAAAAAATGAAATCAAAGTCAAATGCCCACAAAGGCAAAATGAAGTTAAAAAGGTTGAGTCCCACGTGGCTAACTGTCTTGGCAAAGGTTTGAAAAGCCAAGGTACCCCAAATGCTCTGAAATTGAAGTTGGAAGAAAGAAGCCAGAAATGAAAGGCCTATGAAGGTGAAATAAAGTTGAAAAAGGTTAAGTCCCCTGTGACTAGCTGTTGCGATTAAGTTTGAGGAGCCAAAAGTTCCCCAATGCTCCGAAGTTAAAAAAAAGGAAAAGAAAGAAAAAAAGAAAAGGAAGTCAAAAAGGAAAGGCCTACGAAGGCAAAATAAAGCCGAAAAGGTTGAGTTCCATCGACCAACCGTCATGGCAAAAAGTCTGGAAAAAAACCAGAGGTTCTCCAGGGCCTGAAATGAAATTGGCCTCAGGGAACAAGCAGTTGTAGTTGAGATCTTCATCTAAGAAGCTGGGTCGAGACCGAGTGATTGAAACATTCAAGGCCACAAAACCAACTACCATTTCAAACTAACAATTGTTCTTTGTTTAAAAATATGAAACATGTGCAATCCAAAGCAACCTTGCAAGAAGCAGGTGCAACCAAACAGAAACTGCCCAAGGGCTAGAAATAGCTTCGGGGCAAAAATCAATCCAAAAGGGAAGTCTCCTCTAAATTTTTTCCCACATTTTTACTCATTTTCTTAAATAAAACAAAAAAATGAAATGAAAAGAAGAAGAAGAAGAAGAAGAAAAATTCAAAACTATGGTAGCATAGGATCTCCAATCTCTAGCTACGTCTTGCCCAACATAGGGTCTCATTCCCTAGTCGATGCCAGCATAACCTGGTAGTCTTCTCCAGTATAGGATCCCACTCCCTAATCTTTCCCGGCATAACACGTGGACCTCCCCGGCATAATCCGAGGACCTTTTTATTTTTTGGCATAACCCGATGACTTTCCCGACATAACCCCTGGACCTCCCCAACATAACCCGGGGATCTTTTTATTTTCTGGCATAACTCGATGACTTTCCCGGCTTAACCCGTTGACCTCCACGGCATAACCTGAGGACATTTTCTTTTCTGGCATAACCCGATGACTTTTTCTTTTCCGGCATAACCCGATGACTCTCCCGGCATAACTCGTAGACTTCTCCAGCATAACCCGCGGACCTCGCCTGCATAACCCGAGGACATTTTTCTTTTCCGACACAACCCGATGACATTCCCAGCATAACCCGAGGACCTTTTTCTTTCCCATCATAACTAGGGGACCTCCCTGGGATAACCCTAGGACCTTTTTCTTTTTCGGCATAACGCGATGACTTTCACGGCATAACCCGTGGACTTCCCCAGCATAACCCGATGTCCTTTTTCTTTCCCGGCATAACCCGATGACTTTTCCGGCGTAATTCGTGGGCCTCCCCGACATAACCTGGAGACATTTTTCTTTTCCAGCATAACTCGATGACTTTTCCGGCATAACCCGTTGACCTCCCCGGCATAACCCGAGGACCTTTTTCTTTTCCGGCATAACCCGTGGACTTCCTCGACATAATCCGAGGACCTTTTTCTTTTCCGGCATAACCTGTGTGCCTCCCTAGCATACCCCGAGGACCTTTTTCTTTTCTGGCATAACCCGATGACCTTTCCCGGCATAATCCGAGGACCCTTTTTCTTTTTCGTCATAACCCAATGACCTTTCCCGGCATAACCCGAGGGCATTTTTCTTCTCCGGCATAACCCGGTCATTTCTTCAGCATAACCTGGTAATCTTCCCAACTTGGGGCCTCCGATCCCTATTTGATTGCATTCTAGATATAGGGTCTCCACTCCCTGATTGTTTTTTCTCAGGGATACACAATCCCGATTTTAATTGCTTTCAATAAATAAACAGTTTAGATTTTTGTTGCAATAACTCACGAAATTTTCCTAGTGAAAACTGGGGCAAAACTTTGGTGCCTGAATAGGTTATCACCGTGAGGCACAAGGTTTGGGATGACCAAAAGAAGAAGTCTCAACCCAAATAAAGGAAAAGAAGTTGAACTCTAAGTATAGAAGTGGAGAAAAGATGCGGACTGCCCAAGATATGATTGAAGTCACAAGTTTTGCATGTCCATCCTTGATTCGAAAAGCTAAAGAAGAATGAACCAGTGGTTGCAACTAATAAGTATCAAGATTCAGATCAGAGTCTGCGAAAAAACCATCCAAGACTCAAGATCAAGCTTTAGAAGGTTTATAGATAGGAATCTTGTAACTCGTTGTTGATAGGCGTAGCTATTTTAGCTTTTCATCTTTTATTTCGATGTAATAAGGAGCTCAGCAAGCAGAAATAGCAGCAACAGCAGTGAAATCACTGTTTCTTGGTAGTCCCAGCTACCAAAACTTCCAGAACTACACTGACCTGATTCCTTTATAGCCAAGGATATGTAGGCAACCTCCGAAGCAAGGTTCGGTCAGACTTTTTCAAAAAATGCTTCCTATGGAGTTTCAAACGGGCAAAAATTGCTCGTATTTGCTCACTTTATCTTTGCCCAAAAACTCTTGATGTTTCTGAGCAAAGAGAGGCAGTTGTGAACACCTAATTTTTGCACTGCATGTAAATAACTCCTAAAAATATATCAAAAATAATTTTTAAGGGATTTTAGAAGTTTTTCTTTATTTAATTGCATTTCATGCATTTTTAATATTTTAAAAATCATAAAAAAAATCATAAAAAATTATCACGTTTTAATTTCATTCCATCTTAGGTTTAATTTTCATGTAAAAATTAATTTTATTAAGCAAAGAATCACAAAAATTGTCATTTTTACATATTTAGATTTTAGTCTTTAAAATTAGCATTTTTCTTTAATTTTAAGTTAATTAGTCATTTTAATGTTAAAAATAAATAAAAAAAATTTAATTTCTACAAAATATATTAATTTAGGACTTAATTAATTTAATTAGGATTTTTAAAATCAAAGAAAAGAAAAGAAAAAGAAAACAAAGAAAGAAAAGGGGGATGAAGCTATTTTGGGTCTAATTTCGGATATGGGCCAATTTGTATGGCCCAATTCCCTCAAAGAATGTCCAGCCCACCTCTCTAACCTACCCAAACCCCTTAACCTTTAATAAAAACATAGACCTAAGACAAATGAGATCAGATTTTAGAGAAAAGAAAAAATCGGACCCTCTCTCATACAAAACACGAAAACGGCGCATCTGAGTTCCGGTTCTTCTCCATTTTTTCCTTCTTATTCTCCATTCTCACTTTGGCTCTCATACACACTGCTTCTTAACACACACACACACTGAAGCCTCTAGCAACAAGTGAAAATTATAAAGTTTAGAGCTAAAATTCAAAGATTGCAAAGCTGATTTTCAGTTTCAAATCCTTGTCTTCTCTCACATTTTTTGGGGATTTCAGAGCTTGGTGGAGCTTTATAACTTGTTTCGAAGCTAAGAGGTTGATTTAAATTTCAGTCATTGTTCGATTCCTCTGATTTTTAGTGTTTCTGGAATTGCTTAGCTCCAATTGGGTTGGTTTTCTAACTTTAGTCGATTTATTCAAGTTTTCTTTGTTTACCCAGGTTAGTTTGAAACTTCTCTGTATTATTCTTTTAGTAAGTGATTAAACAGTTGATTTCCTGCTTAGATTTGAAGATCTTGTGTTATTCTCATGAAATATGATGCCTATTGGAATTAATTTGGTCACCTGCTACATTTTTTTCATTAATACAAGCTTTAATCCTTATTTTTGTGCAAATAGTGTAATAATTTCATTAATCGACCATAAGGATTGACTTTATTAGCTACTCTGCATACATCGCTTACAGGATGGTATCTCTTTCCCTTGTGCCCCTCAGAAAAGCAAGAACTACTGCTAAATCAGAAGGAGTATATAGGACTAGAGTCTGGTCTTTTAGCATTTAACCCTTTTATGTAAAGGATTTTGATGTTCAAAAAGCAATTACGCGAAGGAGGTTTTCTTGAACAGATTTTTGAGTGGAATATGTAGTGAGGTATGTACAGAAAGAAAATTTGTGTATCTTAAACATGTTAAAAAAATATTTGTAATATCTGCACTTTATATCTTCTACTGCTTATTATTGTTCTAAGAGGGTAAATAAAAATATTCTTGTTGGTATATTAGGGTAATTTGATATTAGTTGCTAAGACACTACGGCTTGCATTCAGAGATTTCAAATTACGCTCCAAGCATGCTTGTTAAAAGAGAAAAAGCAAAATATAATTAATAAGATATTGGATGGTAAATCTCTAATTTTTGAAATTGCAGTATGTATCGAGGAAACTCTATTTCCTTCTTGAAATTGTAGCAGTTCAAATGTCAATAATGCAATTGCAGCATTTAAGCATTCCATTCTTTTAGCTGTCATGACCAAGTCTTGGCAATCTTTGCCTTTGTGATAAGATTTGTACTTCTGAATGTTCCTAACTGATAGAACAATTTAAACATCCATTCAATCACTTATTTTTAATGCATAAGGAAGGTGAGTTTTACCTACAAGCTGTATGGAGCATTCTTGAACTAGTTAGGTGTAATTTCATTTGCTTGCCTATGTGAAGTTTCATGAGACTTCTTATTTGTTGCAGATTTTTCACCCAGTGGAACCAAATAATGAATCTTCTTATTAGTTTACTAGCTTATTTCTTTGAGGTTTAAGGCAGAGCTTATTGTAATTCAACTTCTTTGTAGATATTAATTAATGAACATCGTAGCTTGCTTTAGGTGCGATTAAATAAATTATCATAACTACGGATATTGTTCCCATGGTGTAGTTGTGATGCCTAATTTCAAATTAGATTTAAATATGAGCATCCTTAGTTTGCTTTAGTGAAATACAAATCTTTTAAAGATAAATCGAGGTGTGCCATTCACAATTGAATCACCTAATATATGGCCCTCATATTAATATTATAACTTAGTGTAAAAAATATTTTGAATATTCGTAGTTTGCTTTAGGAGCGTTTATAACAAAATCCTCATAGCTACGGGTACGGTTCCCGTGAAGTAGTTGTGATACCTAATTTCCAAGTTCGAGGTACATTTATGTGACCCGACCACAACTTCTAATAACTTTGATAAATTAAACATGTTGTAGATCATGGGTACAATTCCCGTGTGTATCTTAAACACGTTAGAAAAATATTTGTAATATCCGCTCTTCATATCTTCTACTGCTTATTGCTGTTCTAAGAGGGTAAATAAAAATATTCTTATTGGTATATTAGGGTATTTTGATATTAGTTGCTAATACACTACGGCTTGCATTTAGAAATTTCAAATTACGCTCCAAGCATGCTTGTTAACAGAGAAAGAGCAAAATATAATAAATAAGATATTGGATGGTAAATCTCTAATTTTTGAAATTGCAGTATGTATCGAGGAAACTCTATTTCCTGCTTGAAAATTGTTGCAGTTCAAATGTCAATAATGCAATTGCAGCATTTAAGCATTCCATTCTTTTAGCTGTCATGACCAAGTCTTAGCAATCTTTTCCTTTGTGATAAGATTTGTACTTCTGAAAGTTCCTAACTGACAGAACAATTTAAACATCCATTCAAGCACCTATTTTTAATGCATAAGGAAGGTGAGTTTTACCTACAAGCTATATGGAGCATTCTTGAACTAGTTAGGCATAATTTTCACTTGCTTGCTTATGTGAAGTTTCAGGAGACTTCTTATTTGTTGCAGATTTTTCACCCAGTGGAACCAAATAATAAAACTTCCTATTAGTTTACTAGCTTATTTCTTTGAGGTTTAAGGCAGAGCTTATTGTAATTCAACTTCTTTGTGGATATTAATTAATGAACATCGTAGCGCTCTTTAGGCGCGATTAAATAAATCATCACAACTACGGGTACGATTCCCGTGGTGTAGTTGTGATACCTAATTTCAAATTAGATTTAAAAAGGAGCATCCTTAGTTTGCTTTAGTGAAATACAAATCTTTTAAAGATAAATCGAGACGTGTCATTCACAATTGAATCACCGAATCTATGGCCCTCACATTAATATTATAACTTAGTGTAGAAAACATTTTGAACATTCATAGTTTGCTTTAGGCGCGTTTATAACAAAATCCTCATAGCTACGGGTACGGTTCCCGTGAAGTAGTTGTGATACCTAATTTCCAAGTTCGAGGTACATTTATGTGACCCGACCACAACTTCTAATAACTTTGATAAATTAAACATGTAGTAGATCATGGGTACGATTCCCGTGACATGATCCGCAATGTATATCAAACAAACAAGTGTATGACAATCGTAACTTGTTCCAGAATAATCCCATAAAATAATTAAAAACGGTTATAGAGTTTAAAAATACACACTAGGTTTAAAACGTGTAATAAATAAGATAATAGGCCAATTATTAATAGTTTAAGCGACCGTGCTAGAACCATGGAGCTCGAGAATACCTAACACCTTCTCCCGGGTTAACAGAATTCCTTACTTAGAATTTCTGGTTCGCAGACTTTTAAAATAAAGTCAAAATTTCCTCGATTTGGGATTTAAAATAAACCAGTCACTTGGGAAAACAAATAAACTATTTCAATTGGCGACTCTGAAAAATTAAATAAAATAATCTCATTTCGAATAATGTCACTTAAATTGGAAAAACTCCCTTATATACACCCTTCGGGTGGTAAAAATGAGGTGTGACAACACCAAGACTGTCCCATGGAACTATGAGCGAGTGATAGTGACCTATAAGGGGAAGGAAGTTAACGAGGCCTAGGGATTAACTCGTTCGGGGAGATGTTTTGCCCCGGAAGAGTTAAGGAAAGATAAAACACTTAGAGACAATCTAGTTCTAGTGAAGAAACCGGTCACTGAAGAAGAAGCGGAGGAGTTTTTGAGAAAAATGAAGGTACAAGATTACTCTATCATAGAACAGTTGAGAAAGACTCCTGCTCAGATTTCCCTGTTATCATTGATGATCCATTCATATGAGCACCGACGGGCTCTGATGAAGATTCTGAACGAAGCTCACGTCCCCAACAAAATCACTGTGAACCATCTGGAGAAGATTTCCAATAAGATATTTGAGTCTAACTGGATCACATTCTCTGATGATGATTTGCCTCTAGAGGGTACGGAGCACAATCGAGCCCTCTATCTCACAGTGAAATGTGAAGAGTCCGTGGTCACCAGGGTATTAGTCGACAATGGTTCTAGTGCAAATATCTGTCTTCTCTCTACTCTAAACAAGTTAAAAGTTGATGATTAGAGGATTCACAAGAACCATATGCATCTGAGGTTTTGACGGAGGAGGAAAAGACTTTGTTGGCAACATCATGCTCGAGTTGACAATAGGACCAGTCGAATTCACCATGGAGTTTCAGGTACTGGATGTGGCTGTTTATTACAATTTGTTGTTGGGTAAGCCTTGGATACATGTGGCCAAGGTGGTTCTGTCTTCTTTACATCAGATGGTGAAGTTTGAATGGGATAGACAAGAAATCGTCGTGCATGGCAATGAGAATTTATGTGCTTTCAATGATACCTCCATCTCGTTTATTGAGGCTGAAGAGGATAAGGGTCCGTGGGTCTATCAAGTGTCTGAGACGGTGAAAATTGAAAAGGTTCCGGAAGGGGAATACATCCTGTGTCCAAAGTTAGCATCTATAATCGTCATGGTAGCGACCGAGATGTTAAAAAATGGTTTTATGCCGAGCAAGGGTCTGGGTGCATCTCTGCAAGGCATCGTGTAGCCAGTGTCCTTGCGTGAAAATCTGGGCACATTTGGTCTGGGGTTCAAGCCTACTGGGGATGATGTAAAGAAGGCTCGAAAGCTGAGAAACAAGGCATGGTTGCTCCCTAAGCCAGTCCACGTCTCTCCAGGTCTTTCATCAAGGCAGGGGTGGTGAAGCGTCGAGTGACAACAATTCCAAGACCAATGGTTGATTTTGATGAGGAATTGGTTAAAAGGTTCCGGAGTCTGTTTGATGAAGTGAACATTGTAAAAATCGGGGAAGGTTCCAACAAGGCGGGTGTGCAGTTTGTTAGGCCAAAAGTGAATATTAACAATTGCGATGCCACTCTTCTCCCTACCCGGAAGGAGTTTTGGTAGTTTGCTTTGTTTTTCTTTCAGTTTATCTGGATTATTCTAGGGTTGTAATTCAAATTCTATTTTCCATCTATTTTGATGTACAAACACTTCTATCCTTTATTTTAATGAAATGTAATTTTCCTTTTCCGTTACTCCAGATAGTGTCATTTTCTTTTCTTTCCTTGTACAGTTCTTTTTATGCTGGTTTCAATGACATGACATGCATGAGGAATCTTCAGCAGAATCTTAAAAGCCAATCTAATTCTGAAATAATAATCCAAGAAATAGAGTGTGCTGATGAAATAAAATATGATGAAGAGGAAGCATTTGAGGAAATTAGTAAAGAGCTAAGTCACTTTGAAGAAAAACTCAAGCCTAATTTGAATGAAACTGAAGCAATCAATTTAGGGGATCTAGACAGCATTTGGGAAACCAAGATAAGTGTACACTTGGAACCGCAAATCAAGGAGGAAATAATCAAAGCATTGTTTGAATATAAAGATATTTTTGCATGATCATACGATGACATGCCGAGTCTATGCATCGACTTGGTGGTTCAAAAATTGCCCACTGACCCAGCATTCCCTCCCGTCAAGCAGAAGTTGAGAAAGTTCAAAACTGACATGAGTGTGAAGATCGAGGAGGAAATCACAAAGTAGTTTAACACAAAGGTCATTCGAGTCATGCGATACCCCACTTGGTTAGCTAATGTTGTGCCAGTGTCAAAGAAGGACGGCAAGACCAGAGTGTGTGTTTATTACCGTAATCTCAATAAAGCAAGTCCAAAGGATAATTTTCCATTTCCAAATATTCACATTCTGATTGACAACTGTGCCAAGCATGAGATTGGTTTTTTGTGGATTGTTATGCGGGATACCACCAGATCTTGATGGATGAGGAGGATGTAGAAAAGACGGCATTCATCACACCATGGGGGACTTATTGCTACCGGGTAATACCATTTGGTTTGAAAAACGCTAGGGAAAATTACATGAGAGCAGTGACTACTGTGTTCCATGACATGATACATAAGGAGATTGAGGTTTATGTGGATGATGTGATCTTAAAGTCAAAGCAACAGGACGACCATGTCGGCGATTTGAGGAAGTTTTTCCAGAGGCTCCGCATGTACAATCTTAAGCTTAACCCTGCCAAGTGTGCATTTGGTGTTCCATCTGGAAAACTTTTGGGATTCATAGTTAGTTGTCGAGGCATTGAGCTGGACCCGTCAAAGATCAAGGCTATCCAATAATTTTCACCTCCAAGGAACAAGACTGAGGTGATGAGTCTGCTGGGGCATTTAAACTATATCAGCAAGTTTATTAATCAACTGACGACAACTTGTGAGCCCATCTTTAAGTTGCTGAAGAAGGATGCTGCTGTCAAATGGACTGATGAGTGCTAGGAGGCATTTGATAAGATCAAAGGGTACTTGTCAAACCCACCTGTGTTGGTCCCGCCGGAACCCGAGAGGCCTTTAATTCTTTATCTAACGATATTGGATAATTCGTTTGGCTGTGTGTTGGGTCAACATGACATCATTAGCAGGAAGGAGAAATCCATGTATTATCTCAGCAAGAAGTTCACATCCTATGAGGTTAAGTACACTCCCCTTGAAAGGACATGTTGCGCCCTGACTTGGGTGGCACAAAAGTTGAAGCATTATCTGTCATCTTACACTACGTACCTCATTTCTTGCCTGGATCCTCTAAAGTA